GGGCCGCGAGCCTGCCGCCACCCTGGTCCCCGGCGGGCTGCTCTGTGGAGCCCAGGGCCCGCGCCTCAGCCCCCGGGCAGGGCCCGTTCTCGCGCTTCTGGAGAGGGGGCGCCCGGGGTAGCCCCTTCACAACGCGGCGAGTCGCTGGCGGTGTCTCGTGCTTCGGGGGCAGCCTGAGGCGCCGAGGGCTGCTGGTTTGCTCGGGAGGTGCCGTGTTCCGCTGGCGCTCGAGCGGCGCTCGGCACGGGAGCCCAGGGCCCGCGCCTCAGCCCCCGGGCAGGGCCCGTTCTCGCGCTTCTGGAGAGGGGGCGCCCGGGGTAGCCCCTTCACAACGCGGCGAGTCGCTGGCGGTGTCTCGTGCTTCGGGGGCAGCCTGAGGCGCCGAGGGCTGCTGGTTTGCTCGGGAGGTGCCGTGTTCCGCTGGCGCTCGAGCGGCGCTCGGCACGTGTTGGAAAGCCCGGGGCTGGTGGCATTCCGGATCCCTGGGAAAACGTGCGGCCCAAGTCACTTGCTCAAAGCAGCGCATGCAGTTTGTGGTAGAAGACGGAATGGAGATCTGGCTTCTTGCCTCTGAATTCTTTGCGTTAAACCATTGGGCCGCGTTTCCTCATTTAGGGCCGCTTCCATTGCGGGGAGGGGGATTGGAGTCTTTTATTTGACTTGAATGGGAGTTGGATCAGGCCCCCAGTCTTTCTGCGCTTTCTGGTAAAATTGTGGTGTTTCCAGGTTACTCAGTACTCTATAAAAATGGTATTAAAGCTATGCTGGATGAAAGAGATTTTTCCCAATCTTCTCATGAGCCACTGCTGTTGACTTAGTTTTGTAATTCAATGGTATTTTTCAAGTAGCAAATCTGAAATGCAGTCTCAGGCAGGTGATAATTTTGCACTCTTAAATTTCTATGATAAGGTGGTAATTCGACGCTTGCCTCCCAGTTTGACAAAGGAACAACTGGAAGAACATCTTCAGCCTTTGCCAGAACATGACTATTTTGAGTTCTTCGCTAATGATTCCAGGTACAAACACTTCAGGTTTCAATTTTTTCATGTAACTTAGTATGTCAGAGATGTCTTTTAAATTACACTTGTGTGTATACATATAGTTCAAATCATCAGCAACTAGGCAGCATCATTTTACACATTGCTATCTTTTGTCCTTTTGCAGTTTGTATCCTCACATGTTTTCCAGAGCATACATCAACTTTAAAAATCAAGAAGACATAGTACTGTTCAGGGATCGCTTTGATGGTTATGTTTTTGTTGATCACAAAGGCAAGTAAACCTAAAACTTGGTTATTTACTGAAATCTTTGTATAAATATATTCAGTGAGATTTAGCAGATTAAGGTAGCTTAGTTCCATTTTTTTTCTTGTTTGCTTTATTTTGATGGTAGAATGATACATTAGAAGTGAAGACATAGTGCCTGCATGTAGTATTTTAATAAACTTCATGACACTTTTTGTAGTAGATTTTAAATACAGCTTAAAATAATAATAATAAACTCTTTTTAAAGCAGTATTAGTGCAAAATTTTCTAAACAAATTGCTTAAGGGGAATTCCCACTCAAGTAATTTACATTTACATTATATATGTTTTTAGCTAATAGAATACTTGAAATGACACTTACATGGTTTATTAGGACTATTCAGCGCCTAATACTAAAACTTATTGGTGTTGCTGATTTCCAGGGGCAGGTAAAATACGAGTTGTGGGTTAGCCATCAGATCTGGCCTGGGGGTACAGCTGGAGGTTCAGTCCTGCTCCTTGCCTGCCCTGCTCATGCATGCTGCTCAGAGCACCTTTCTGAATCTTCTGAGCCTGGGAGAGGGGAGAGATGCTTTGCTTTCTGCTCCTGCCTCCAGCAAAATTTTGCAGCTGCCTATTTTCAGGATAGACAGCACTCAAAGTAAATTCCCACCCCCAACATTGAGAGTAGTACATGTGGCCCAGACCTGGCTGAAGAACCTGCTGGGAAAGGGCTTCTGGCAGTGAGCCATCCATGTAAGTGTCTCTGGGCCAGAGCCTGCCTATGGCACTGCAGTTCCCTCTGCACCGCTGTCCCACATAACCCAAACTCTCTGCACCCCATTCTACACCCATCCAGCTCATAACCCCCACCCCCAAAATGTTGCACGCCAATTCCCCTGCCCCCCGGTCGCAACGCAAATCCCTGCACTCTCTCCTGTACTGCTGCCCCAGGTCACAATCCCCTTCCAGACTCTGTACCCCATACTATATCCCTCCTCCAGGTCAGAATCCTTTCCTGCACCCCGGTCTCTTTACCCAAATTCCTTCCCGGATCCCACACTCCCTTCTCTACCCAACCTTCATCCTAGACTCTGCACTTCCTCCATTAATATCATGGAAGAGTGCCACCCTTGACCACGTAGCAAATTCTTGGTGTGCTCTCCTTCTCCCCCCTAAAAAATATTGCCCACCCCTGCTCTAATATATATACTGGGTAAAACTCTGACTCCATAGGAGAATTCTTGCCACTGTTTCCCACTTAAGGTGGGAGCAGAATTTAACTCTTTAAACTCTACTTTTATTTGGCTATTTTGATAGATGTAGGTTTTTTTTGAGATTTTATTTTTTGTGTTCTTAATCTTCCACCAACCAGCTGCTTTTTGTGAAATAGCGCTATGACAGTTGACATCTTCATGTTCCAAGCATTAACTTACATTACCTAGATTCCATGAAAATACTTTTTTGAAACCTTTTAATTCACTGTATCTACCTTAGAGGGTAGATTGAGTTTGTGCAACTTATTGTGTTTGATGTCATTCAGAAAAACCCTTGAAAGCCAAGTTCTTTGTTTTGCATGGAGTCTTTATCAATCCAACTGGATTTTATCAAATACAGAATTTTCTGTCTCCCATATGTTCCCAGTGTAAAATGTCCCTCTTCCCACACCCTCAGTCCCACATTCTAAGGGGGAGAAACAACATGTAGTCATAATGCATAAATATCAGGGTGTTGTGATAATGTTCCTGAGTAACCTTAGCTTTGGCATTTCCTTAATTTTTGGTATTACGTTTTGCATCTTTAACTTTCTTTTAAAGTAGTTTTGTATGTATTTTGTGTATAGGTAGAAAGGTGCTTTGAGACCATTTTGTGATGAAAGGGCTATAAGTAATTTCTTTATATTTTTAATCACATGATGTATTTCAGTAGCTTCCATCTGTTCATCTATTATAGTACTGTTTGTTATAAATACACTCCATTCCATCCTCCCAATATAATACTATGTAAAGAATGTAGTGGACTTTTTTCTTTTTTTCTTCTACAGTGATTAAACAGTTTTAACATTTTGCATTTAACAGGTCAGGAGTATGCTGCCATAGTAGAATTTGCACCTTTCCAAAAATCTGCAAAAAAGAAGAATAAGAAAAAAGATGCCAAAACTGGGACAATTGATGATGGTATAATTACTAGGGTTATTCATTTGTATGAATGCATGTGTGAAGACTTATGTGGTGCATGCAATCTGATAGCATTTGAATTTATTTTGATTGATGTCATTATGTAACAACATTCGATACTAAACATTTAACAATTCAAAAATTACACTCTAGTTTTTCAAAAGAACTTATCTACTACACTATAATAGAATTATAGATATTGTGATTAGGGATGTAAAAGGTTAACAGCTTACCAGAATGCTTACTGGGTAAACTGGTTGAATGGCAAGCTGCGACAGACTGGAGTAGCCCAGGCTGCATCAGACCAGATTCCAGCCATGTCTGGCTGGCCCAACCATGGCTAACCAGTAAACTATTTTAATGTATATTTACAACTCTAATTATGTAGTATTTACTGAGCTCTGGGCAAAGGATAGGGTCCTGTTGTACTAGGTCATGAAAAGATGGTCCCTGTCTTAGTTAGCTTATGCAGGCCTATTATATTAGCTGAAAAACAGACCACTGCAAAACCAATAAAATATCTTAAGTACACTGCAGAATAAAGCTGTTAAAATCTTGAATTATTACTATTAATTATATTATTTGCAAAACCTAATTAGATCTGGTTCTTATCTCAAAGTTTGATTTTAATTTTGCTAAAGACAACTATAGAGCAGCAGCTCATAGGACTGTGTAATTCATTCATTCTTGTTTGTTCCTAAGTTTTTGAAAATGCAGATTCACTATTCAAACTATGCACTATTTTATTTTGTAACACAACCCAATCTTTCTCCCTAGACCCAGAATATAAGAAGTTTTTGGAAAGTTACAGTGCAGATGATGAAAAGTTAACATCGACTCCGGAAACATTACTAGAGGAAATAGAGGCAAGAAACAAAGAGTTAATAGGTATGGAAAACTGATGTCTTATACCTGAAGCTCTTTTCACATTGTAAAAAACATGCCAAGTACGGTATTTTGTAGGTTTGTGGCTTTTGAATTTTGGGGAGTCTACATTCTTTTTTGATTATTTTGTATAATCAAGTTGTTAATCTTCACTAGTAGTATCATTCTATTTTTCTGTACTATAGTCCTTTTTTTTTTTAAGTTGGATATAGTAATTTTCTCCAACTAAGTTGATATACAGTTAAGTCCCAGTGGTGGCTACATTTCAGAGAAGAATGCAATGGCTCCTTTAATATTAGTACTGTGGGATGGAAAATGAATCACAACTTACATTTAAATAACATTTACTTTAGCTAAAACGTTACATGAGAAGAAATAGACATGAACATGCTTAAGAGGGTTATATGTTTTGAAAAGAGAAAAGTTTTGATATGAGACTGAAATTGAAAAAAACACAGGAAAGACTTCTTAGTCTATACTATCTAACATATGAAAACCTATCTTGATACTTGTAAAAGGAAAAAATAATTTAACTTTTAATGTTTGTTTAGCTAAAAAGACAACTCCCCTTCTGAACTTCTTGAAAAACAAACAGGTATGATTTGTCTTTATAATCTGTTTAAAACCATTTTTGTTCTGTGTTTTTGATAACTTGCTCTTAGAACTTGTGTCTGTATAGTAAGATTCCATTTGGTGGTAAATGGATCCAAAGATCTTGTTTTAAATAATTCCCCCAGAGCTACAGAAATGTTCAGATAGAAGCAGGGAGTACTCCCACCTTTCTCAGAAGAAGGGCGAGGGTTAGGAAATATCTGACAACTGTTTCTTCTGCTACAAAACTGGGTTCTGCTGCCTAATTGAGTCTTTGTTGCCTGGGAGGTGGTAAGTGTAGTGCAGCTGGACCTGCTTGCAGGAGAGAAGAGAAATGTGTATATAGGGCCTTAGTCTAATGTTTAAAATGAGAATGGGGTTTTCTTGGACTCTATCCTAGATACTTGGTATAACCTGGGTTTTTGCTTAACAAACTATTTAATACTTCCAGAGTATTGATGTATCACTATATTTTGCTTAACATGATGGTGTAATAACAGTCCTCGTTACATAGGAATATTAAGCCATGTGAACTGCATGCAGCTGTGTGGTTGGCAAGCCTTACTCTGTTTAACTGATTGATTGTCACTAGCAAGACTTAATGTCCTTGGTGATTTCTGTCCTATGAATCTATTTTTCTTCCTGATGTGTGTAACTTTTTACAGTTTGTAGGTTCTGATGTGCAGGTGTTTTTCAGGTTTTATATTTATATATATCGAAAATGCTGCTCTACTGAATTTTGAAGATTTCAGTAAGTTGTTTAATAGTAAGGTACAAGAGGAACAAATGTTTTATAAAGCAGTATTTTTTAGAGATTTGTCATTTCAGAACTGGGTATCTTACGAAACTTTAATTTTTTTTCTAATACGGGAAATACGATTTTCCTCCCCTTCCCCCGTCAGAGACTGAGAGAAGAAAAAAGAGAGGAGAGGCGAAGAAGAGAATTGGAAAGAAAAAGACAAAGAGAAGAAGAAAGGAGGAAATGGAAAGAAGAAGAAAGAAGGAAAAGAAAAGAAGCAGAAAAACTGAAGAAAGTTGACAAATGCCCAGAGAAAGAAAGGGATAAATCAAAGGACGAACCAAAGATTAAGGTGGTGAGCATGTCACTGTTATAGATTGTCTTCCTCGCCCTTCCTGGTAAAAATTGCATACAAAATGTATGCATTTATTATTTGTCCAAGTTAATTCATGATTTTGTAGGAGTAAACTCATAATGTTCATGCTTTTGTTAAATAACTCTAAAGTATAATGAGGGCTTGCATGCTGATTGTTGGTTGCTTTATCTTAAAACAATTTTCATTGTAATACTTGTGTGTATGCTTTAGTTCTGCAGAATGTGTGAAGTGAATATAATCAGGGTATATTTGATTACCATACTTAATCTTGATCTCCTATTATAAGGGGAAATTAATCCTGTTCTAGGATTTGGATAATTTTTTTATTTGTAGACATTCTATAGTCCTGTGGTGTCCAACACACTAGCCACATGTGGCTATTTGGCTGGACGACTGTGGCTAGTTCACTACAGCATTATTCATAGTGGCTACTGCTACACAATTAGTTGGACACCACGGCTATAGACTCTGTGCTCAGAGGCAGTAAAAACTAGTTACACATATGCATGTTTCTCATGTTATGTAGATGTTATTTCATCCTAGAGTAGGTGAATTGTGCTGTGCTGCAGAGTTGAATTAGAATGAGCTTTGGCTTAAATAAAAGCTGTTTCCTTCACAGCTACTTAAGAAACCAGAGAAAGATGAAAGAGACATGGAGAAAAAGGAGAAGTTCAAGAAACTGGAAAAAGAGAATGCGAGGGAGGAAAAGGCTGCTGGTGCACTAAGCAGTATGTCAGCCAAACGATCTGATGGAGAGGCTAAAGAGGAAAAAACAAAAAAGTTAGTATATGTATGATTTACAGAAAACCTCCAACTCATCTAGACCAGTATTTTCAAACTTAGGCTGCACTGTCCTCTAACTGCTTTTATATTCAAATGAAGAAATGTCTCCAATATCTCTGGGGACTGTCTTGGTTATGACAATCTTATGACTCACGGAGGTGAAGGAGAACCATTCATGTGGCCCATTCTCTAGCATAGGTTGCCCATTGCTGCTCTAGAGGCTTTGGCAGGAAGGAAAATTGCATGGCGACTGCCTGTGCTTAAGGGACTAAACTTGGTGGGAGGATTTGGAGTAACTCACTGTTTCCAGTCCTTTGTTACCAGCAGAAAGGCCAAGCTAAAGTAATTGAAGAACCTATTACACAGGATGGGCTGGGGCGGTATACTTAGCCTCTGTTTTGCCAGAAGCTGGGAGTGGGTGACCGAGGATGGGTCTCTTGGTTATTATCTCTTCTGTTCATTCTCTTTGGGCATCTGGCATTGGCTGCTGTTAGGAAAACAGGATACTGGGCTAAATGGACATGTGGTCTGACCCAGTATGGCCATTCTTATGCCAGAAAAGAGCCCAGAATTATGACCATGGACTGCAATAACTAATCTTCCCAACATCCATGTGATGTGTATAGGTGTGAGTTCCCCGTCCTATGTCAGAGGAATGAGGCAAAGATTTAATTTCCAAGGCTACAGGGGGAGTTAGTCAGCTGTGTGATTAGAACTGTGGGACTTCCTATCTTTTAGTGTTCTCGCACAGTATCAAGGATTACATCATCACTGCAGTTTTTCTGTATCTGTAGTAAAATATGACTGTAGGCTTCTAGAATATTTTAATTCTTATCTAAAATCTACAAATCATTGTCTGACCATATTGATGCAGATTTGGAGCTGTCATTGATTACACAGGTCTATGATTCATTTTTTGATCCAGTCTTCTAAGCTTAATTTCTTACTGTTTTTAAATACAGATCTGAAGATGAATATGGAAAAGATTACAGAGACCGGGAGAGAGACTTTGAAAGAGAGAGAGATTATGAGAGACTGCAGCGGGAGAAACTGAGGAGAAGGAAGGCTTTGAGAAGGAAAAAGTTTTTAGACGAAAAGAGGAAGAGGTGAAAAAGGAGATAAATTCACTCCGAGAGAAAGGAAGGAAATGTGATCTTACAGACTTTACAAGCAACACAGAAAAACCTGAGAAAATAACCAAAGAGGACAAAAAAGATGATGCTGCCGCCAGGAGAGATCGCATCAGAAACAAGGTGCTGTCTCTCTTAAATTCACACCCATTCCATAAGACCTGGTTTTGTGGTAAATATTAAAGGGTGGATCATACTATTTCTTACCAACTGTAAACTTTGCCATCAAGACTATAGGGGAAAAATAGGCAAATTTTGTAAGCTTTGCTGCTAAGCTGAACTTGGTTGTGGCAAATTTCTTGTAGGTATTATGTACAAGTGCAGCTGTTGCTGGCAGGTTCTGAACAAAAGTGAATAAACTTTCTGGTTTTGCCAGCAGATATATGGTGGCTTGTTTACCATTGTGTCATCAGAGAATTGATGTGGTGAATCCAGATTCTTGCAGATGCTGTGTGTAAGTTAATGCCAAAAAGTGTCTTTAAATGAGAGAATGCACAGCAAGCAGTCTCCCTACTACCCCTTCTTCAAAACACTCTCTTTTAACTGATACAGCAAGTCTCTGCAAAGGCATTGATGTGCAGCATCATTGTAGTCCCTGTGTTAATATACATATTGTTCTACATGTAGAATACCTGAAAATGTGTTCCTTCTATTGATAGGAAAATATCCAGATTAGAGGTGGATTGATTCTGCATTTGTATGGCAACAGCGTAGGGTAATGAGTGATCTGCATGAGTGGCTCTCCTTCACCTCAGTGGGTTACAAGGTTGTTGTAACCAAGATGGTCTCCTGGGATAGGGTAGTTTTGCTAACAGCGCTTGGTACCTAAAACTTGCAAGGTGTGCCCATTGAACTATATCAGCACTCTGATTAGGCACAAAGGGAGCGCACAGCTCTCAAGGTCAATGCCCTTGCTTTACATGTTTCACTTAAGCAATACTAGTCGAAAAAAAACCTGTGCAAATGGAAACTAGCAGAATCTGGCAACCTGGTGTGTGGACAATGATAAATAAAATGTCTGCAGGTTGCCCACCACTGATTTTGGTGCATCTTTGTCATGTTCTTGGGGGAGAGTGTGTTTGTGTGTTTGTTTAAAGACTTGAGTTTGAAGAGGACAAACTAAATTGCACCTTTAAAATATTATCCTTACGACTGCTTTAAAATACTTGGGTATGTAATCCACAGTAGCAGTTTGATCTACCATTTGAGCAGTTACTCTTTGTCATTAAACTTATATCCTGGGAGTGTCTGAATAGTTTTGGGAAAACCTGAAGCAGTGTGTGCATGTTCTGTTTGCTTTTTTACGTATCATCCCTTGAGAAATTATAAGAATGAGTGTGATGCTTTGGTTATAAGATCGCCTAATCCCTTCTGATTTTATTTCAGGATCGCCCAGCAATGCAGCTATACCAGCCAGGAGCCCGAAGTCGAAGTAGACTGTGTTCTTATGAAGACATTGCTACAAAGTCTATGGATCAAGGAGCAGATAAACAGGAGAGTGAAACCAGTAATACAAAAGAAGAGGAGTGATGAGCACACAGGCCTTATATGTTCTGAGTATTCAAGCAGCCAAAGAGCATGTACTACGCAATCCAGAAGTGCCTTCAAAGAGAAGGAGGAACAAAGGAAGAAAAGGGGGCATTGCGCTATTGGATGTTTCTAGTTAAAGAACCTCAATCTGAAATGTGTTCTCATTGTTATTGGAATTTATTTTCGTGGCATCAGATAACAATAGGGAAGAAAATGTTGCAAAGTAGAAAAGCTTTTTGTGGCCTTAAGTATGAGAAATGTAAGTCATGTAAATCAGGACGATGACACCTAGATCTAAAACCAGAACTTTTTTGTAAAGCAGTGCTAAACCAGTGTTTGATGCACTTAAAGTAAATTTAAAGCTTCAGTCTTGCTTAAAAAAATAACATCCTTTATTGCTATGCTGTGTGGTGTTGGGCCCGAGATTACGTTACAATTACAGCGTAATTCTAGCACTAAAACGGAGGTTCTCAGACTATGATAGCTGGGCCATCAGTGGTCCGGGGAAGCCTTTTCAAGTTTTCTGCAGAAACCTTTTCAAGATAAAGCAATAGGAAAGTAGAGAGAGGCCTTATAAAGAATCTTCCATGTAAGATGAAATAGTTGAATAAGATTGCAGAGTAGGAAGTTTTTGTTCCTACTAGTGTGGGATTTTGTTTTTGTTTTGATAAATTGTCATGTAATGTCTGTTGATGTGTACACAATTTTTTATTCAGTGTAGCTGTGTAAAACATCTGATTATTTTCAAGCATTCCCTCTTGTTTTAGTGTTATCAAAGTAGGAAATATGCCATTTCAATTTCTCTGCTTCATCTTTCCATATCCAATGGAGTGTTCTTTCACGGCCCAGAAAAATCTTCACCAATAATGATCCTCTTTAAGCTAGCAAGTTTTAGCCATAGCTCTTTTGTACTAAACCCAATAAAACCTGAAAATATTAAAGATACTTTAAATTATATTTGTCATCAGTGAGACTTCATTTGGGGGCATGACACAGAACTAGCATTATCTTCCCCAAGCTTTTCATACAAATATTGTACATTTAGTTAACAATGTCAGATGATTCTACTGAAACTTCCTTTCAAACAGCTATATACAGATCTTTGAATTATACATTACATCATTGCAAAACTACAGACAGTCCCCGACTTACGCGGATCCGACTTATGTCGGATCCATAGTTACGAACGGGGCTTTTCTCGCCCCGGAGGATGTGGGCAGCAGGACTGCCCAGACGCGCCGTGGTCCCGCCGCCCGCGTCCTCCAGAGCGAGAAAAGCTCTGCGTCTCCCTGGTCTGCTGGGAAGAGGCGCTAGCTTCGCGTCTCCCTGGTCTGCTGGGGGGAAGCAGCTAGTGCGGGGGTGCCTCACCCCATTTGTAAGTAGGGATCTGATGTAAGTCGGATCCATGTAACCCGGGGACTGCCTGTAATATGATTTTATGATTGTTACTCCCAACCTCCCAACTCCAGAGAGAGACAAGATTTTCTGGTGTTTAACTGGGTATCAGTTCCCTGATACCTCCAGTAATTGAGCTACCCAAAAAAATCTCCTCTGCATGATGCAAACCTTTATTTTCACTTGCAGATTAACAATAGGTCCCAGTCCCTGAGACTCTAAAGAATTTCCCCGCTGTTGTAACCCATTATACACTGAACGCTTATGGCAATGTCAAATGTTGTCCCCAAAGGAATAGTTTACACATCAGCTTGAATGATTCAGCTCCTTGTACAATGCCACAGCACCAAGATATATTTATAGTGAGCGGCTGATTCCAGGAAGCCCAGGGCAGAGCAACTCTGCCTCGGGCTTCCTGTAGTCAGCCACTGGTCAGTTTCAGCAGCGGCTGAATCTGGACGCCAGTTCCGACTTACATACAAATTCAACTTAAGAACAAACCTACAGTCCCTATCTTGTACGTAACCCGGGGACTGCCTGTACTTTGAAAAAGCATAGTGTTCTTGTTTCTGAAGTACCATATAATTGTCAGAGGTCAAAGTAACCAATTTTTGTTGCAAATTGTATTAGTCTGTAACTAATAACACTACTTTTCCTAGCTTCCTAAGCTACTGCTTATATTATCTCTGCTAGGTTTCATTTTACTAGACAGATGTTTTAGCATAGGGATAAATAATCCCGGTTAAAGTTAACCTTTATGTTGAACCAGTGAACTGTGATCCTGGGGCAGGGGCCTGCTCTAGGTGGGCCTGCAGACTGCTGGGCTGATGCAGGATCACTGATTAAGCCTTTGTGTCCCTATTTAGGATAGCCACTCCATAGACTATCCCATAATTGTTCATCACACCCTTTCTTTCAACTTCCTGGAACTATCTGGTACAGTTACTGGCAGACAGGAAACTGGACTAAATAGACCACTGGTCTGATCCAGTGTGGTTTCATAGATTCCTGAAAGGCAAAAAATGACCACTGTGATCATCTAGGCTGACCTGTATAACAAAGGCTATGGAACAAATCTTTTAGGAAAAAACATCCAATGTTGGATTTTGAAAGTTTGTGGTGAAGTATCACCATGACCCTTGATAAACTGTTTTGGTGGTTAATTACTCTTACTGTCAGAAAATTATGCCTTATTTCCAGTTTATCTAGCTTCTGCTTCCAGCCATTAGCTCATATTATATCTTTCTCTTTCAAATGGAAAAACCCTATTAAATGTTTGTTCTCTCTGTTGCTACTTAAATCCTGTAATCAAGCCACCCCTTAGGTTAAACAGAGATGGTTAACTAGATATTTTTTAGTTCATCATTCAAAGTAGTTCTGATATTAACTTTTTACAATGGCTGTATAATTGCTAGAAAATTTGAATGAGTTCTGGTTTTTGTTTTTTGTGGATGTTTGCTTTTAAGCTTTTAAATACTTGTTCATACTGACAGTGAAGTATCACTTTTTGACCCCTTTCATGTGAAGGTGGTGATTAGTGATCTATTCCCTACCCAAAGAGACAGTAACTTGATTAATGGTATAAAGGAGTGGTAGTAACTCAGTTTACCTTTCCTAAACCACAATTAGGACAGTGATATTTCAGCAAATTATATGACACAAAGTAAAGCACATGTTACCCAAGACAGCAGCAAAGAATACCTTCCAAAGTGAGTGATCCCAAAGCACTCCATGCATTCAACAAACTCCTCTCCAAATTATTGAACACACATCACTTGCAAAGCTAACTCTAGTATGCAACATCAGCTTATTCCAAAATACAGACAGAGCAACTGCATAGTAAAGTCCAGGGGTTCAGGAAAGCAGAAAGTTAATTACAGGAGTTTTAATTGGTCCAGGACAGATGGGCTAGCTGCACCACTGTCCAAAAAGCACTAAGTGGTATTTAATTATTGAAAATCTTGCTCGGAATTTCTGCTTCATATATCTGTTGAGATAAAGGTGCTATTTCTAGCAGCCCTAGGAATTGGTTTAACACAGATTCAGAGGTAGATAAATGTGAACGACTATTTATTGGAGCTTTCATGCTCCTGTAAGTTTTCCTATCCAAATACTGGTCTGACTTTGCCAGCAGCAAAGAGAGAGCCCCTGCTACGAGAAGCTTACATGTTATTTCATTGTAAGATGAGCTTTCTAAAATATGCTAATGTAGAATGCTTTCTACAAAACAACTTTTTTATAGTGAACTGTTTATTTTAAGAAAACATAAGATTTATTCATGAAACATATTAAGACCTTGTCTCCTCGGTTTTGGTGGTAGGCCCTACAAAAACGACACGGACTAAGCAGCTGGGGGGAGGGGGTTGAACAAGGGAAATAGGCTGGGTCTCTGGAGTGGGTTACAGCAGCTGTTAACAGACGTGGCCATAGCTGAGGGAACTTGGGGGGGCGGCTGCTGTTGCCCCGCGTGCCAGGGGATCTGCAGCCAGCTCTGGGTACTGGGGTCCCGGTTTGAGCCCCGTATGCCGGGGACCTCTACTGTCCTCCAATGCGCAGGGTCCCCCGGCCAGCGTGCCGGGCTTTGCTCCCGGCTTCAGCGGGGGGCAGCACCCCCACTTTTAAAACTATTCCCGCGCCACTGGCTTTGGCTGCCCAGCGAGCTAGAGGTCCTGCGCCTACAGGCTGTCGCTCTAAGGCGGAACACGTGACAGAGCCAGCCTGCAGCGGGCCCCGGGAGCCGCTGGGTGTCGCTGTTCCTGCGGCCGCCCCATCAGCCCTTGCTCTCCAGCCCCGCCCCCTCCTTTCCTGCGCCGCCATTGTGGTGATCGGCTGGTCGCTCCGCACCATGGTGAGACTATCCGGCCCCATCCGCTGTTGTGCGAGCTGATCCGCGCTCGGCTCCGGGGCCCGGACCTGGAGGGGTCCCCCTCCCGCCCGGCTGGGGTGGAATTGGGGGCAGGAGCAGGGTCCGCCCCCTTCCCGGCCCGCTCCTACGGGCAGGTTCCTGGTGGGAGCGAGCGAGGCCGCGCTAGGGGTGGGAGGAGGCTGGAGCTCGCCTGCAGCGTCCCAGGGTCTGAGGCCGGTGTTGTCCGCTGGGCCGCTCCCGTCCCTCGCTGTCCTCCAGCTGCTGCGGGCCTGAGACCCGTTACTGGGCGATGCGGAGCTTCCCAGCTCAGTAGGAAAAGGAGACGGGGGGGAGGGGTTAACCAGGGTAATGCACGTGGCCTTAATTCCTGGGGGGGCAGGGAGGTTGAGCACGCCCTGTTCCGGGAAGAGCCCCCCCTCCCCCCTTTTGTGATAGCGTCAGCTTTGGAGTCAGGATTTGTGATCTTTTGAGATGCCTGGGGAGATCTGGATGAAGTTATTTAATCCGACCTAGGCCTTTAGGTTCTGCTGCTCCCTCTGAGATCCTGTCCACTCCATGTTTGTCAGGCTCTGTGGCACAAGTGTAAGTGTGCTACAATCTTGTTTAAATAAACCGGTGCAGCTTTGACTAGGTTGATACTAAGGCAGGGTGGTCATATGTACACTAGGGATGTTAAGGACTAGTCGATTCCTCCTCCCTATCAGATAGAGGCAGCAAAGTAGGGGGGAGAGGATACTTCAAAGTGGTTGTGGAGCCTCGGGGTCACCTGGGACTCCCATGCTGCACTGCCAGTTTGAAGAGCGGAGCCCAGGATCAGCTGGGGAGTCCCCCACTGACCCTTGAAATGCACAGGAGCCCCTGCTGGAGACTTTTGTACATTTCAAAGCAGGACTTCCCCGCCTTTTGGGGCTTTTGTACATTTCAAAGGAGGAATGCAGAAGTGCCTATTGAATAAGTCGATGGAAATTCCATCAACTACTCGACTAATAAAATAATCAATAGTTAACATCCCTAATGTACACAAGTGCACTAGTTCTCAATCTGCTTAATTTTGCCCCTTTGGTTACCACTGATATTTCCATGTACAGGCAAGTCCTCACAGGATCGGGCTGCAGGGATTATCTCTGAATGCAACTTTTGTTATGAGAGTGCTTCCAATGGCTTTCCTTTATCTCTTTATTCTTAGTCGTCCCACAAGACATTCAAGATCAAGCGGTTCCTTGCTAAGAAGCAAAAGCAGAACCGGCCCATCCCACAATGGATTCGCATGAAAACTGGCAATAAGATCAGGTAAAAACAACTGAGAATTCACAGTTTGCCGCCACACTTGATCAAAATATATATAGAAAGGCCATATCTGCACTATACACTTCCATTGGCATAACTGTGTGTTTGGATTGTAGAGGTCTGTGATAAAGCTGTACTGGCGAAAGCCCTTAGTTATACAAGCTCCATTTGCAATATGAGTAGTGGCAGGTGGATGGAGAGAAGAATCTTGTATTCATGGATATATTGTCATGAAAAAACATGTATTACTAACCTTAGGTCATGTTAAGATACAGTTATTTCGAGAAAAAGCCCTCTCTCAAAATAACTGGTAAACCTCATTGTATGAGGAATAAGGATTATTTTGAGAGAAGGGTTTTCTCTCGAAATAACCGTGTCTTAACAGGGTCTGTTATTTTGAAATAGCGCCATAACACGAATATGCAAATGAAGCATGGGATATTTAAATCCCGGCTTCATTTGCAATTTCAAATGTCTTCATTTGCATCCCTCTATCGAAAGAGGGTGCAAGTGTAGACATACCCCCAGAGACTATCCAGTAGTCATGTAACCGCTAAGATTTCATGCGGTTACACAACTATTCAGTTACACAATATCTAACATCCCTAGAATTTAGTAGCACCTTAGCAATGAACAAAAACAAGCAAGAGCCTGTGACTTCACTGAAACCACAGGATGTACAGAATCCTGGCTCCGGCCTTTACGCCAGCTTTCCCCCAGCTCCTGCTTGCCCCCGCCCCACCTCTGTAGGAGGTGGGGAGGGGCAGGACTGGGGAGCTGGCTTTTAAGCCAGTTCCTCATGCGCACCATCTCCTGCTTACCCCACCCTTGCTGCCGCTGATAAGAGGCAGTGGGGCAGGGAGGGAATGTGTCTAGCCCACTACACAATGACATCCATACTAAATTCACTGCATTTTGGTCAATTTCAGAGTAATAGGATTTTTGAAATCATAGTAAGTCAATTGTTTAAATCTGAAATTTTACAGTGTTGTAATTGTAGGGGCTTGATCCAAAAAGGAGTTATAGGGACAGAAGTCAAAAGATAGTACTTCAGAAGCAGAAGCGCTGCTAAACAATTTGTGGGCTCACTGGATGATCAAGATGCTAAAAAAGAACTTGGAGACAATATGGCCATGGCGGAGACCATACATAATTTTGTCGGTCTTCACAGCTGAGGATGTGAGGGAGATTCCCAAACCATGGCTCTTCTTTTTAAGTCCCATCTGATCTGAAGAACTGTTCTGGATTGAGGTATCATTAAAGAGTCTTGGAACAAATTGATAAACAGCAATAGGTCACCAGGACCAGATGGTTTCATCCAAGAGTTCTGATGGAATTCACATATGAAATTGCAGAGCTACTAACTATAACAGATGACTAGAGGATAGCTAATGTGACACCAATTTTTTCAAAAGGACTCCAGAGGCATGCCTGGCAGTTAACAGGTCAATAAACCTAATATCAGTATCGGGCAAGGTGATTGAAACTATAGTAAAGAACCAAATTGCCAGGCACATAGATGACTATAATTTGCTGGGGAAGAGTCAGTCTCCCAGAATTCTTTGAGGGGGTCAACAAGCATATGGAGAAGGAGGATCCAGTATATTTAGATTTTCAGAAAGCCTTTGACAGGGTCCTTCATCAAAGGCCCGTAAGCAAAGTAAGCCTGTCATAGGAAGAGAGAAGGATCCTCTCGTGGATTAGAAACTGGTTAAAAGATAGAAACAGTAAAAACAAGTGGCTAGTTTTTTCAAAATGGAGAAAGGTGTTACACAGAGGTCTGTACGGGACCAGTCTTATTCAACATATGCATAAATGATCTGGAAAAGGGGGTAAACAGTGAAATGGCAAAATTTGCAGATGATTCAAAACTACTGAGGCTGGTTAAATCCCAACCAGACTGCAAGGAGTTTCAAAAGGAACTCACAAAAATGGGTGACTAGGCAACAAAATTGTAGATGAGATTTAATGTTGATAAATGCAGAGTAAGGCACATTGGAAAACATAACCCCAACTATGCATGTAAAAAGTTGGGGCTATAAGTTAGCTGTTGGCGCTCAAGAGAAATCTTGTTGTCATGTTTGGATAATTTTCTGAAGACATCTACACATTGTGCAGCATAGTCAAAAAAGCAAACATGTTGGGACTCATTAAGAAAGGGATGGGTAATAAGACAGAAATTAGCATATTGCCTCTGTATAAATCAGGGGTGTTAAAAAGCAGTTAATTAGGTAAGTTAGTGGTTACACAATGGAGGCTCTGCCGTATAAAGCTTATACGGCAGAGCCCACAGTACATCTGGCTCCAAAGGAGCCAATGCAAGCCAGAAGCTGGCTTTTAAGCTGGCTTCTGACATGCACCAGCCAACAGTTTTAAACAGTCACATTATTATGTCCTTGGTATAAATCCATTGTATGCTCACATCTTGAATAGTGATGTGGTTGCCTCATCTCAAAAAGGATATATTAGAATTGTGAAAGGTTCAGAAACGGGCAATAGAAATTATTAGGGGGTGTGAAATGGCTGCCCATGTGAAAAATGACGACTGGGACTTTTCAACTTGTCTTCAGAGGTGGGCATTGCTACCAGATTCTGGCCACCCAGCTCTGAAGGCAGCACAGAAGTAAGGGCAGTCCCCTAACATAACCTTGCTAACCCTAACCCTCTGCAACTGCCTTTTGGGTCAGAACCCCCAATTTGAGAAACACTGGACTCCCCTGTGAAATCTGTATCGATTAGGATAAAACCACACAGAATACCAGCTTTAATGTTGGGAGACCAGATTTCATGGGCCATGACGAGTTTTTTTGTGGCCATGAATTTAGTAGGGCCCTATTGCCCACAAACTACAACAAAACTTAAAACAGTCACAATGTATTTCTCTTTTACGTAGTCTGTAATACTTGAAGTTGTAAGGCAGAGCCAGGGGTGCATTTCTTAAAGTATCTTAATTTTTTTCAAAAATAACAAGGAGTCCTGTGGCATCTTAAAGACTAATAGATTTATTTGGAGTAGGGATGTCCGATTAACAGATAAGGACTTGATTAGTTCTGATTAACAGGGTACGGGCTGGAGCAACTCCCTGCCTGCCAGGGGCAGGGGGCTGCTCCAGCCTCGCTGTGGGCCTGCTGCAGATAGGGGCCACTTGTCCGGAGCAGTATCTAAGCTATGCAATTTGAGTTATGATAGTGACATAACTCAAGATAATGTACCTCAGATCTATTGATGGGTTAATAGGAAAAGCCCTCAAACCCTTCCTATCCTCAAAGTCTGAGCAATCACTAGACCCGATAAATCGATCCCAGTGGATTAGTCTTCACAGTCTGATGCAAGCTCACAGTTTTATTGCTGTCATTACAATTAATTTGCTCTCTGTTCTTAAGTCACTTAGCTCTGCCTTGGTTTATCCACTTGTAAAAGGGGCACAGTACCTATCTAGCTGTGTTGCAGGCATGTGGAGAGTTAGTGTCACTAAAGTGCATAATTTTATTTATTTTTGACTTCCAGCACTTGGGCAGAAAACTGATGCTTTTGATGCATTAGTTTTCTGCCCAAAATATTTGATAAAGCAGGCTGCAATTACAGTGCTTCATTCTGTGGGAGTACTGCCATTTTGATTTCACCTATCCATTGGTGAAATTACTAACTATTAACATGGACACACGCATAACATTTTTAGTTTTGGATTGTGCCAGTTTTGAATGCTTTAAAGGATTTATTTCCCTAGAAAAAGTGCTTTCTCCATGCTGCAATGCACTGCACTTATAGTCTCAAGAATCCACTTCTGTTGGGAATGGGAATGTTTTATTTTGGTAAAAATGGTACGATGTTTTTAAGAGCTAGCCAGTTCTTTACTGCCAGCACTGACCTCATGAATTTTAGGATAGTGGCACAGTGTATGCACATAATCAGTGCTGCTGTTTCTAGGTAAGTATGCTTCTGAGAACTTTCACTTTTTTGCAGTTGCTAATATTAATCCAGTATGGGTTCATATACCTAGTGAGAGAGGAAAGCATGTACATATGGAAACCAGTTTAAAAAATTAATCTGAAGTAATTTAACATAAATTGATTGACCAACTCCCAACTAAACTGTTACAAGACATTCCAGCTCCTTACTGCTGAGTTAATTCTGAATGTGATTGTGATCTACATTACAGACTCAAATGTGCCTTGCTTATTAAGTGTGGTGCTTTTGTTGTAGGTACAACTCCAAAAGGAGGCATTGGAGAAGGACCAAGCTGGGCTTGTAAAGAACTGCTCACATGGGAACTCTGATGACACAAATGTCTCCTGCCCCAAGACCTGAAATACTCGTTGCTATAAAAACCACCAATGATTCATTTTGGAATGTTGAATCTTGTTTACTGCCTCCTTCCCTCCACAACAAAAAATCCAAACTGTGGTCTTGAAAGATAACCTTCAACAGACTCTTTGGAATAAGTGTAATTGAAAAAATAAAACTGTTTCATTGGGGTTTATTTCTGTGCTCACATATTGTTGACTTAATTTGTATTGCCGGTTTACAGGTTTGTTAATAAATATGAGCATTATTGATCCTTTAATGATTCTGGATGAATTTTATTACATGGAGTATGTGAGATGGTTGGGTCATCTGGAGAATAAAGACAAATTAATGTGAGCATGTATCACTGAGACTTGATCATGCCATCTCAGTCTCTATCTGTATGAAAAACTTAAGTTGGCTATGCCCTCCAAAGCTCATGATACCAACATGTTTTGTTAGTCTTTAAAGTGCTACCAGACTTTGTTGTTTTTTAAGTTTTTCCTGTTACGGACTAACTCGGCTACCCCTCTGAAGCTTTTCTATCTCTATGGTTTAACATGAGCAAACAAAACCAATATCTCCCTCTTGTACCCTTTTGCCATAATGATATGTGAACAACTAAACTTGAGAGAGAGTTTAGAAATATGGGCTTGCCTTTAAAAGAAAATACAAATCTCAATTTAGGAGAGGTAACTGAACTAATAAAGCTCAGCAGGATAGCAATGTTAGTCTGTAACTTTGAGGGTCACAGTTATGTATAATGTGCAAGGGATTCCACATGAATGAGCAAAATAATTGAATCCTTCTCAAGTAAACTGGAAAATCTCCACTTACAGGCCATTCCATCTTGTATTGTCCTAGTGCTTATAAACTGCTGTATGCATCTTACCTATTACATACAGCTAATATTTTCAATTTTTAACAGTCTGCCCAGTCTGTTTTATCTGATACAACCCTTTTGTACACTGAAGGCCAGATTTTCAAAGGTATTTAAGAATTGGTCTGCATTTTCAGAATCTTGAGTAGCTTTAAAAATCTGATCCCAAGTCCTTTTGCAGTGATTTTAATGTCAAATTGCACGGAATCGCAAGCAGTATATTTGAGAAAATGGCACAGAGTAATCCACATGCATTCAGCTAGGAGGCACAAATATTTTGTTGCAAATCCAAAAGTGATGCATTAAGAAAACCTTACACAGTCAATTATTCTCAAATAACTAGATTTAATTTTGGAAACTTGCATTTTGATAGTCATTGCAATCCACAGAAGATTTTGGAGGGGTATAAAATAAAAGGTCAACAGTGAGATGTTGGGGATGACTGAAGGTGGAAATCTTTCCAATTAGAGTTCTGGGTGACTTAGCTGAACAGAAGTGGGAGCATTTATCAGACCAATTGAATTGTTAATGCTTCTAGATACAACAATTAAAAAATTGATTCTTTAGGAAGGCAGGATGAGGTTTTTTAGTGGGAGGCCGTGGGAGGGAGGAGGAATAGACGGGATTATAATTGGTTGAGTCATCAGTCCCCTGAAATATTTTATGCCTGCACTCTACAGTAATGACCCTTAGCTAGATGACACAATTATATAGATTCTTGAAAGCAAAGATGGAAGTTCTACAAAGGTCTTGTTAGTGGGGAGAACTGAAGCACAGCAACATTGTGATTTGCTCAAGGTCATGCTGACTCGGCATCAGAGGGGACCAAGTCCCCTCTTGATCCCTTGCTCTGCACCATGTTGGGTCCAGTATGTACATTTTGTTTACCTGGAAATAACTATGGTCATACTTTTGTGTACTGATTTAGCTGAGACCAAGTGAGCTTGTTGCTGAATGGAGCAGAGGAGTGAGCTGTAATTGCTGTCCCTTCTGGGGGAATTTAGTTGAAATTAACCTTTAAGCTTTTTTTCACCACACCTTGTGGGACCAGCAGAGTGTTTACAATAAGTGGAGCTGATCTTTTTAATGACGTTCACAGCAAGTCAATGCTAAGGTGCAGTGTGTGCAAGTTAGGTCACATACTTTGCATAAAGCAGGCAGCTTGTGGGGCTTTACACAACTGCCAGTCTCTCCAAAGGCCTTACTGGAAAGGCCATAGACAAGAAAGGTTCATGTCCGCCGTTCAGTCAGTTGAGTATTGAGCAGTGACTGGGAGGGGGGACAAAGCTGTGTTAACGAGCACAAATATCACCTTTCCCAGAAACAGACTTGCTAGCTAGCCAATTTGAAAAAAAAATCTTAAAAGCAAAAGAAACAAAACAGGAACATGCAAAGGACATTAGTTTCTGTTCCATTTAGGCCTACTAAGCAAAAGAGACAATTGTACATTATATTGAGTTGCAATAAATGCCTACATAAAAATTGCAATGATTTGGATGTGTACATATATGTCTACATTGGACGACAGAATGATGTCATTGGCGTAGTCTCCCTTCCCCCAGTTCATGTTTACCTCCATACAGGGTGCCTCACTAGCCGTTCCAGGAAGCTCCTCTGGCTCTTACATCGCTCCCCCACAGGGTCGTCATCTTAGGACACCCAACAGCTCCTGTTCCTGGCCACCTTCCACACTGACGGGTCTCTTCCCCTGCAGCCCTTCCTCACACACCGCCACGTTTCCATTGCCACCAGCCGGCCCAAACTGTGACCCTGCATCACCAGCCCCTTTACTCACTGTCCTGCCGAGACCCCCGTTCACTCATACCCCCAGCCTCCTCGCTGCCCTGCCAAAATCCTGCACCTCCAGCCCCCTCGCTCACTGGGACGCTGCATCCCCCCGCGAGGTTGAAGCACCAGCACCAGCTTCCTGCAAGGGGGTAGGAGAGGGAAGACAGTCCTGAGGCTCCCCACCGGATCTGGCTTGTGGGGATGAAGCATCTGCACGCGCTCCTCCCGGGTGGGGGAACAGGAGCACAGAGATGCGCTTCCTAAAGCCTTTTCCCACTGCTTGGCAGGGCGGTGAATGAGGGGACTGAGGGTGTGAGGTCTCAGCTTGCAGGGGGTGAGGCTGGAGCACCAGTGTGGGCTCCTAGTATGGCCCCAGCCCCATCACCGCCCTGGTGAAACCCTGCACTCCCAGCCTCCCCACACATCCCCTTCACTGAGACTCTGCACTCTCAGCCCCCTCACTCATCCCTTCAACCAAGACCTCACACCCCCCAGCCCACTCCAGCACCCTCCCACCTGGCCAAACACCTACCCCCAGAGAGAGGGGGGGTTGGTGAGTGTGACTCTCACACTCTGGCTACGAAAGCTGCCAGAGAGAGGAAGGTTGGTGAGCATAGCAAGCGGGGGGCATAGCCCCCTAGTTTTTCCTAAAGGTAATTAAAGACTTTAGGAAAAATTGTCTGGGTGGCCATGAGCAAGAGTTAGTGACTGCACCTTGAGGCTATTACAAATGTCTAGTGAGACTTCCTTGGGCTAGTGGTCTGTATCAACCTCAGGACCCATCAGTCATATTTAATCTTCCAGTAGTCCTTTTGGGGGATGTGCGAGGTAAGTGATTTCAGCATCATTGGAGAAGGGAGATAAGTCTACAATAGAGATATCAGCTAGTAGTCAACTAGCTCAGTGTTTCTCAACCTCAGGGGTACTTCAGAGAAGTCTGGGGGGTATGTCAACACAGCTGAAATTTGGAGAATCCTGAATTTTTGTTTTAAAATTTACAGCACTTTATTATTTTTGTACTTTTTACACCCAAAAATCTCATTGCCCACCCAGCTACAATTAAGTTGCTTAAACTAATGTGTTGCAATGGTAGAAAAAAAAATTGTGTGTCTGAAAACTATAGGTACTAGGGGTACTTTTTTTTTTTTGAAAAGGGGATACTTTATAAAAAAAAAGGTTGAGAAACACTGAACTAGATGATTAACCGGTAAATCTAGGCTTATCAGTTAACCCAGGGGTGGGGAATCTTTTTTGAGCGGCGGGCTGCTGACCCACAGAAAAATCACAGTTGGGGGCCGCACACAAGTGAGAAACAAACAAAGAAACAAAGCCTCACTGATGTGGCCCCCAACTGAGAAGGAGAAAGACACCCCCCACATGCCCCTCTCACACCAGAGCTTAGAGAGACCCAGGCTAATAGATTTTGCGTGCTCCATCCCCGTGGTGGTGGGGCGGGGGGCTGGAATACCTGCATGGGCTCCCCAATGCTGGGGGGGCCCTGAGCCTTGGGGGCCAGATCCAGGTAAGCCGGGAGCCACATCCGGGCCTGAGATTCCTCACCCCTGATAACCTGTTGACTACTCATATTTCCCCCCCACCCCATGCTGCCTCTGTGGGTTGCAGGATCCTAGCCACTACACGCCCCATGCTGCCAGCTGCTGCTGGCCCTGCAGGCTCCTTGCTTCCCACCTGTGCTCCCTAGGGGAGTTTAAAGGGTAACAGGCACTAATAAGCATCGGCTTATCAGTTAAACAGTTAACCGTTTAACCTCTTACATCCCTACTAGGAACTGACCAGTCTGTGCTCATTATCTGAGCTGAGTGAAATGCAGAGTAAATTAAATGGGCTGGGTTTAGTAATCAAAGATGCTGTTAATGCAATAAGTGAGAATGTTTGTTTCACAGATATTTTAAATATGACTGTTTCTGGAGGTGTAAAATGTGCAGCTGAGGTGAGAGGGCCTGAGAGTGCTAGCTATGGCTTGGGACTCTGAGGCTATGTCTACACTCGTGGCTTCTTAAGCAAGAAATATGCAAATGAGGCTAAGAGTTTAATATCGCCGAGCCTCATTTGCATACCTAATGAGCTGCCATTTTTGCAGAAGAGGCTCTTGCACCAGAAGGAGCTGTCTACACTGCCCCTTCTTGCGCAAGAAAAACCCTCTTGCACAATGCTGCTACTCTGATTATTTTCTGGAATAATGGAGAACTCATTGCTATGCAAGGGGGGGAGGGTCAACACGTGGCCCAGGTAAGCTGTGGGCAGAGGATGGCCAGGAAGACTGGTAGAAGGGTCGGCAGGAGAGGGGCCAGAAATGACCTCCACTGGGCTGGAAAAATCCCTCATCCAGGACCAGTCAGGTCCCCCAGGTGCCGGACCAGGGAGGTCCAACCTGTAACTTGAGTCCCCTTAATTGGTAAGCATAAGGTTTACTGGTACACTTACTGGTTAACCTGCCCTTGCTGGTGAATGTTAATGGCAGACAGCTGCATCAGGCTGAAGCAGCCCCGGCCTCAAAGGGGCCAGTAGGGATGTTAGTGATTAATTGAATAGTTGTGTAACCGCACAAAATATTATCAGTTACAGGGCTGTCAGATAGTCCCAGGGAAGGGCCAGCAGCTAGTGCGCTCCTAGCCCCACATCTGGGGAGTCCCCTGCCATCCTGCATTGCTACCTCTTTGTCAGAGGCAAGAGGCAGCAGTGTGGGGTGGCAGCAGCGACAGAGATGCTGCACTGGCATCCCACAGAGCAGCCTCTGTCTGCAGCGAACCTGGGACCACTGGAGACAGAGGCTGCTCCACGGCAGTCTACCCTGTCTCCCCATTCTGCAATAGAGACAGCAGCACTGGGGTGGGGAGGGGCAGGCGGCTCTGCGGCTCTGGTATCCTGCTCCCCACCCTTGCTGCCTCTGATACAGAGGCAGCAGGCGGGCAGGGAATGCGAGTAGTCAGTATGATTAACTGATAAGCACAGGCTTATTGGTTCATTGTGTAGTCGACTACATGTTGACATTCCTACCGGGCAGTGGGACCCCACAGCTGTGGCAGGACCCTATGGCAGTGGCAGGGCCTGGCGGCAGGCCTTAAATTAAAACAGTTTACTGGTTAAGTGCTAGCATGTAGCCTCCCTATCTCAGAGCCCATCTTATAATTCCAGAGCTGTCAGAGGGCAAATATCATTTTCCCTTATGAATGGAATCCAGAGAAGATGAGCATGGAACACCAGAAGGCCGTTTTACAGTCACTTTTCAAGGTGGAACCACATTGTCAATAAAGGGGAGGGTTAAAAACAATGAGACTGATTCTGTGTAAAACCAAGACTGAGGCAGCTGTTAGTTTTAGGTCGTTGCGAGGCAGCCCCGAAACTTAAAACAAGTTGGGCAAAGTTGCATTTTTCTGATAAATAACATACACGTCAGACGGGCGAGTAGAAAAGGATTTATCTTTTTAATGCTTTCAAATCTGAGCAGCGATACATTAGAAAGAGGGATTAATAACCACTCCCTCCCTTGTTTCTCTGGAGTGTCTGTACATTATTGTTTATTGTTCTTATCTATGTGCCTTTTCTATTTCCCAGAACAATGGCTCCTCCTACCTAGGAATGTGAGCTAAGTTCCTTTCCTCTGCATGGCACCTACCTGCACTAACTTCTGCCTAATCTGGCCCCTTTCCCCACCCCCCAGCAGAGCTGACTGATGTCTATAGGGAGACAGGGTCCAGGGAACAGGTAGGGAGCATGAGAAGGTATCCCATTTAGCACTTAAAATTTTGCCTATGGTGCCTTGAGTCTCCTATCATGCCACTTCGGGCTTTATAATTTAAAATCCTCAAACCCAGGTGGTCAGAAGATGTCAGAGTGTTCCTAAGGTCCTTCCTTTTCTCTACGTTGTGTCCATTCTTTGCGAGTGCTGGAGCTGTTTAAATAAAGCTGCTGCCTGCCTGACCACCATTTTCTCTGTGCTCCAGGACTGGAGTCTAATTGGGGACTCAAGTTTCTATTTGACACAGCAGATTTCTTCTGGGAAAAGAAATGCAAATGATCTTTTTTCAGTGCGTTTTGAATGCACATGCAGTTTAGTGGCATTACCTGTTTTCTATGTTTTCCTCCATGTTCTTTCTTAGAAGAGACATGTACAGGAAATGAAGACGTTTGTCTCTGGAGTTTCAGTGGCTGCTTCTTTCCCCACCTGGAGTCCAAACTCTGAGACCTCTCAATGAGTCACCGTGGAATGATTTATGACACACTGCTAGCTCTGGCTGTCCGCTGTCCTCCCAGCAGCCTGCAGACAACAGTCGCTCTAATCTTACAGCCTCCCCGTGCAGTGGCGACAGGCATTTTCCTCATTTGGAAAAGAGGAAACTGAGGCAGTGAGCGATAAAGTGACTTGACCAAAGTCACATGAGAAGCCAGAAATAGCCTGCAAGTTCTCCTGCCACCCAGTCCTGTGTTTTAACCACACAATTGGGCTTCCTCTGCTACTCCATCCTGTGACTTGTGCAGGGGGGAAATGTCGGCAGCGACAACAGCACTAAAAGTAAAAGCACCTCTTTCCATATTGCTGTTCTCAGTCACAGCGCTGGAGCAAGCAGGGAAACAATGTAAACAAAGCAGACGGGATTGCTTATAAGGCATTCTCAACATCCCCATGCTTTATAGGCCCATGCCCTGGCCAGCTGTGAACAACATAAGGAGCCAGGCCTGTGTGGGGCACTTGCATGGGGGTGGAGGATGGCAGGCTGCACTTCTGGGTCTCCATTCACGGTGGAGAGGTTAAAGAAGCAGCAGAAGAAATGTCACTGTCAGAGGCTTCCATTGTTCAAGCAGAATAGTTCCTGAGAGCCAAATCCTGCCCCCAAGGTACACAGGCACAAAGGCTAAGCACGCGGCTTGCAAGGGGCGTGGTGCAGGATCCAAGTCTGCACAGGTTTGCAAAAGCCTTAGTCAATGGCTCTTGAGTAATCTCTGTGCCTCAGCACCCATGGGTTAGTACCAGTTCCACAGTTGTCTCCTCTACCAAACCTTGCCATACCCCGGTTCTCCATACCTCACCTCCCCTAGCCCTAACCAAGCTGCTCTTCACAACCAATTCATAGGCCACATCAAACTGAGTCTTAGGCACAGAGGACAACTTAAAGGTCTTGGAAGAAGGAAAGTGCCTGTCTGAACATGTTCCTCAAGGAGGGCAGCCTGAAGAACATCTGACTGTTCCTTTCAGCACCAGAGTCCCCAGCCCTTCTGGATGGCTTGCAGTTGTTGTTGGTGTTCCAGGCACCTAGCTGGGCCAGGTCATCCTCTAAAGCCCCTGACAGCTCCTTCAGCTCCCTGGAGGCATCTGCTTTCAGGTACTGCCAGGCTTTGTGGCCGCTGTGGTCCCGCAGGCTCGTGTTGGCACCGTAGGCTCCCACCAGAACCTTAATGACCATCTCATGGCCCTGCAGGGCAGCCAGATGCAGGGGGGTCAGCCCACCGCTGGCTGTGGGAATGTTGACATCCGCATGATAACCCTTCTTCTCTGCACAGGTGATCACCTCAATCAGCGCCTCATGGTTGCCATGCTTGGCCAGCCAATGGAGGGCTGTGAAGCCCGTCACAAAATCTCTTCTGCCCAGCAGGCTGGGATCCACATCTAGCAATCTCAGGATGCCCTGCGGGTTCCCCTGGGCCACAGTCAGCATCCACTCATGCTCTAGGGGGTCTAGAGCTAAGGACAAGTCCTCAGGGCTCTGTTCCAACTTCTGCTCCAGCTCTTGGGGTATCCCCACAGTAGTGCTGCTGCTGCTGGCTATCTTCTGAGCAGCTGCAAGCCACATGGCTCCCTCAGCTCCACTGCTCTGCAGCAGGAACTCCTTCAGACCTCTCCGTCGCGTGCTGCCCTGGCCTATGGAGAGCCGGGCGGTGTCAGAGCCCACTTCCCAGTTACCTGAACCTCTGCTAAATCTGCCCAGGCTCCTGATCAGGTCCCGCTTCTGTGACTGGCGGAGACTCACCTTCCCCGCTGCTGCTGCGGATGATGATAATGCCTGGACTCTGGGGTTGGGCATCTGCCTGTCTTTAAGTGCCTCTGCGTGAGACTGGGAAGCCTCTGGCAACACACATGGCTCAGTGCCCTTTGGTACCTCCAGACTCTCTTCCTTCTGCATCCCGGCCATGCTGCCTCCTCTGGCAAGCTTCACCATCCCCAAGATCTCCTCCTGTGGCTCCCCAGAGGCATCCGGCTCCCTTTAAAGCATGTTCAAGGCTCTCTTGGCTGGAGCGCTTCCCTGTCCCGATGAGATTCTGACTCCAATCCCCACCAGAGCTCTCCGGTTGCAGAGCTTCCTGAGTCTGCCTTAGAAACGTTGCAAAGAGGAACCAGCGTTTAGTTTCTGTGCTCAGGGGAAGACACACTTGTTGTGAAATAAGTTACAAGCGGCAGCAGGCAGCACACCCTTCAGCTGATCAACTGATTTTCAAAGACTTTGCTGCCTGCCATTTATTTACCAAAGAGAGGCTAGAGCAATTTCCTCCTTTTCCCAGCCCCTCCTCTCCAAGCTACCTGCTCCCTGGTGCTTAACATTCAATAACTCTCCAGACAGCGGCTGTGTTTTCTCTCCTCTCTAGGTTTTGGTGACTTGTATTTCAACACAGCTACACGGCACCCCACTGTCCAGCTAGAACTGCAGATCCTGGACCTGTTTGACTTCCTCCTGTCTACAGGCAAATCCATGGTAACAGCAGCCGAAAGAAAAATGTTGCTCAGGTCATTCAAGCTGAAAATAAGCAGTGACTTTTCCACTGGACTGACTACTGCTTACCTTTCCAATTGCTCCTGTGCTGGGAGAGAAAATAGAGCTCCGGGTAGGCAGTATTCCCACCCTGTGTCTCGCTGGGCACCTTGAGGGCTGCTGCCGGCTGCAGGGCCCCTCCTCCTCTTCCTGTGGGTTCTTGCACACCAGCCTGCTCCTTGCCAAGTTCCTTTGTGCAAAGGTTGCCACTTGTAAGTTTTGCTGTGCAGTAAAAGCTGTGGTGGGACCTTTGTCCTCGCTTTCAACGGAGACAGATTAAGCTGCTGCACGTGACTCTTCCGCTGCACGGCTGGCATTCCCCTCCACCGCTGGTGATGTGAAACCGAATGCACCCGTTCCCAGTGAGCAGAAAAACATATGCATGGGCCACAGCCCTAAAGCCTGTGAAGTCACAACTATGGGCCCCAAAAGGAGGGTTGCAAGTAAAACCAGTTGGGCCAGGCACTTTAAAGGATTCCCCTTAAGCATAAATGGCCTGATGATGCCCGGGAATGAAAGTGAGAGATGTCTGTAGTTGTGTGGGTTAGAGGTCACTGCAGCTACTCTACAGGCTGAATATTTCTAGGAGGTCCTTGTTTTTCCATTCAACGAGACGCTAAAGATCAGTTCAAAGCGGCTACTCCCCCTCCCCTGGAAACTCCCTGTGATGAAGTGTGGCACATGTGTGGGAGTGTGCATCAGAGACAGATGGATTGGCTGCCATCTGCTGGATGGAATCAGAACTGCTTGACTGTGTGTCATGGGCTCTATACTGCTGGCAGCTAAAGGAGATTCTCCTAACTCAAGTCCTAGTGGCTTTTAGAGCAGCAGGATCTGAGTCCTATGCCTTCCATTGCCTTGGAGTTCCGACTAACCATTTCTATGCAGTAAAGCGATACCCCCAGCTATGAACACACATGCACAAAGATCACAGGAAATACAGAGGGATGCAGCTTCCATTTTAAGACACCCAACAATCTAAAAGGTATAATCGCTGGGAGGTCATTTAATTTACCTCTTGATTAAGAAGCCCTTTGATACGGCAAACAGTGTCCCTTTGGCAATAACCTCTCCTCCCTGAGAGGCAAGAAGCACCAGCAGCCATGCAAGCTCCGGAGAACTGTCACTTCCCCATTTAACTCCAGATTAACACAGAACTGGAACTACGCTATTAGCAGCATCAGGCTGCTGACGCTTGATTCAGAGCCTGCCGTAACGGTGTGATCAGGCTGTGGCACACTCATGCTGCTCTCAGAGTCCAGGAGTCAGCTGACTTTTGGAAGGTAAAAGCTAATGACAGAAGTGGCGGCGGGGGAGGGGAGGGGCAGGACTCCTCTCCAATGCCCCAGTGAAACGATGGCCACTGAAAAAGCCTCTCTTTGGTCACTCCTTCTATTGGCCTTCACTCCTTGTTCTCAGAAATGTCGTAGCTGTAAAAGCAGTTGGTAGGGAGCAAGCCTCCCGCCACATTGCACCAACAGTAGCTTTTATTAGCACTTGGGTTGTGATAGCGCCGAGGAGCCCTCGTCTTGGCCCCGTTGCACTATGTGCTGTACAAACACAGGCAAAAGGAGGGGCTGTAACAGGACCGTCTGCCCCTTTCAGAGTCACAAAGGACTGGCTGCTCCCCAGCCTGTTCTGGGGAGGAGCCCAGCAGACAACTGCTGGGCTCACCTTCCCCAGCTGGACAGCACAAGTGACTGGATCAGATGAGTCCCAGCTAGAGAATATAAATGAAGGTCGGGAGTTATCTGAGGTGAAGGAGGCAGAAGATAGTGGCAACATGAGTGCTAGTGAGTAGGCCCTGGATGCTCCCTTGGGCTCAGGAAAGTCCTGCCCATTAGGCTGCTGGTGGCCAGAGAGCCCTGCAGTCTCAGCTGGGAACAAAGCGACCACTTTGTTATTGCTCTATGGTTCCTTTCTGCTGTAGGGGAGCCAGCAGATCTCTGAGGCAGGGGTCAGAAGCTGCACCAGGTGTGGCTGATTGTGCCAGGGTGATGATCATGACCACTGGCCTACATGGTCCCTGCTCCAAATGGCTTCCAGTCAGAGAGGGAAATGATCCTGCCTAACCCAGCCTAGGTTTGAACCTCAGCCAGGTTTAGGGTTGCCAGATGGTTTAACTAAAAATACTGAACAACCCCCTCTCCCACCAAAAAAAACACCAGGGAGAAAATTCTGTTGAGGAAAAAAGGGGGGGAGACCAAAGTTGTTGAACAAAAAAAAAAAAAAAAAAGGTAAAAACAATAAAAATAAAACATCATGGCCCCTTTAAGAAAAGCCTTTGAAGCTTTTTGCTGGTGGCCATCTTGTTTTCCTGATCAAGCCAGAAGACAGCTTCCTTATGGAACCAGCTAAGCAGGAGGTCGGGGGGAGGCTCTGGGGGGCTTGGAGCCCAGGGGTTGGGCCCAGTTGCTGAGTGTGTCGTAGGGTTGCCAGGGATCTGGTATTTTCTCCTCCTGGCAGGGAGAAAAAGTCAGAAAATACCAGATATTTTAGGTGTCCAGTATTTTCTGAATTTTTTTTACCGGACGATAGGCAAAACTACCAGACTGTCTGGGTCAGTACCGGACACCTGGCAACCCCAGCCAGGTTAAAGCGACGAGGAGTCCTGTGGCACCTTATAGACTAACTGAAGTGTAGGAGCATAAGCTTTCGTGGGCAAAGACCCACTTTGTCAGATGCATGTAGTGGAAATTTCCAGAGGCAGGAATAAATATGCAGGCCAGGATCAGGCTGGAGATGACCAGGTGGATCCAATCAAGGAGGATGAGGCCCACTTCTAGCAGCTGATCTGGAGGTGTGAATTCCAAGAGAACAGAAGCTGCTTTTGTAGTTAGCAAGCCATTCACAGTCTTTGTTTAATCCAGAGTTGATTGTGTCAAACTTAAAGATGAACTGTAGCTCAGCAGTTTCAGAAACTGCTGAGCTACAGTTCATCTTTAAGTCTGACACAGCAGATAAGTCTGAACCAGCAGATAAGGTAGTACTGTCTTAGGGCTGCTCTAATTGATGCCCCAGGCCTCCAGCAGCCCCACAATACAGGGAGTTCAAAGGTAGCTTAATACCTCTGTCCAAAGGAATGGAGAAATTCAGATCTGGAATTAGGATTTGAAACAGGTGCTGACTGCTGCTTTCTCCTCTTCTAGAGCCAGTAAGTAACCTGGCTTTTGGAGAGCTATTTGAATTTGTTTTGAGACACAGAGCCAAACTGCACGCCCCAGAACACATGCAGCCCTGCCATGGGAGGTGCATCTGACAAAGAGGGTTCTTACTAGGAATGTTAACAGGTAACTGGTTAACCTGACTAGGTGATGCCTACTGGGTAAGTGATTAACTGGCGGGAGCAGCTCCCCACCCGTGGTGTTGTGTTGTGGGTGTAGCCCAGCCTGAACAAGGCTGCTCCAGCTTGGCCGGGCCCACTGCATCATGCTGCAGACTGGGGACCACTCCAGCTGGTGATTAAGTGGATTGTTTAACATTCTATTTAACCAGTTAACTTTGTAACCAGGATTCTACATCCCTAGTTGTTTATCCACAATTATGCCCAAATAAATGTTAAGTCTTTAAGGTGCCACAGGGCTCCTCATTGTTTTTGCAGACACAGACTCACATGGCTACCCCTCTGAGACATGGGAGTCACTGGTAGGGCTGTGCTTGTAAACAATGGCAGAAATTGGTACCAAGGTGGGACAAAGAGTGACCCCTTCTTTTGCCTTAAGTTCTCCTCTGACTCTTGCTACGCAGAGAGCAGTGTAGTTAAGGAGAGGCTGGGCTAGCATCTGGCAGACGACTGGGGCCTGTGGGTTTTAATCTCTGTCCTCTTTGAAGAATCATGATGTAAATGACAAGATGTGTACTAGACAGAAGAGGTCAAAAAAGTCAGGGTATTATGCACAGGCGAGTAGCTTGCCTGTGCCATTAGGACAGCATCTCTCATAAGAGGTAAGGGAACTGCAGGCAGTTGATTGCATGCAGTGTGGGCAGGGGATGCCAAGCAGCTGGTAGGAGAGGGAAATACAGCACATGATCTTGTATTAAACATGGAGATCAGAGTAGCTGGAGAGAACTCCCTACTCCAGGGGAAGCATTTTTGTTTTCAACGTGAATCCCTTGATGAGCTTGCAGAATCCCAGAGGCTGCTCTAGTGAGTCTCAAGCAATGCCTCTGCAGTAGCTCTGCCCTGCTGCACCACCTGATCATTTTGTTGTGGCCGTCTGCCTTGGCACGGGAACTAGGAGTGTCGGGGTGCTGCACACCCCCTGGCTCCCAGTCTAGTGCCCAGGGTTCCCGGTTCAAACCCCATGCTCCAGGAGCTCTACTGCCCTGCATGCTGGATTCCCGGCTGCCAGCTGCATACAACTAGGGTTCTGCTGCCAGCCCCACAGATTGGGGTCCTAATTTGAGCCCTTTATGCCAAGGGCCTTTACTGCCAGTCTGAGGTCCCAGCTGCTGGCCCTGCATGATGCAGCTTTGCTCCCAGCCTCAGGTGATGGTGGACAGGGTAAGGGGACTCAGCCCCCCCTTTTTTAAATATTCCAGTACCACTGGCCACTTGCATGACAGCCATTTGAGATTTCTCTTGTGCATCAGAGACTCCATTTATGCATGTTAGTTCGTCCCATATGGGACACACGTAATCCCCTGCTCTGCAATGTGATGTGGGGGAAAAAGAAGTGGGAAAGTTCTGAAGGAGGGAGCTGCACCAGCTGGGACACCAGACCCTGGAGAAGCCCCTCCATGTGACCCCCCATGCAGTGGGGTTTGCACTGCTGTTCACTTCCTACATAATCTCCTCCTCCATGCCTGCCACAGTTGTATGAAAGAGGAAATAATTGCTCTAGTGAGACTGCTAACATTAAACATTGAAGTTTCTAAGAAAGCATAGGAGTAATTCCTTTCCTTGTTGTTCCACTTAGACCACTAGGGCTGCATTGAAATGCCAAGTGGAGGTGACATGTCCATGCAGGTAATGTTTGCTGGCTTTTATTCCTGGGGGGCATTGCTGTCGCCATGGTGAGATCAGCAGAGCGGACATGAGGTGTCACACGTACTGCTCCATGCTGCTTGAAGTAAACATGGTTAATGTATTTGGCAATGGGATTAGTGTCTGGTTCAAACCACACAGTAGACAGACTCCTTCTTTTGTATGCAAACTTACTATACTGCAAGGGTCTGATCCTGTGAGGTGCAAAGGGTTCTGGGAGCACAGAGTTGGGCCCACGCTCTGACTCATCCAGTTCGAACTGTCCTGTGGACCTCTTTTGCTTGCAGATTCCCTGGGGCAGACACAGAGTTTTCCTCTTGTATTTTGCACAGAGCTGAGTGGTCTGTGGGTG